TTATTGTAAATGGCGGCCACTACTTAGAACATGCTACGCGTAGCCATACTGTCCAGCAGAAGTAACGCAGCAATTGCAACTGCTACATGAAGCCGCTACGTAGCGCTACGTAGCGCTAGCTTCGGCTAAACACACCCATTGTCTGCACCGTAACATTTGAGCCCCTTGCACAATGGACGGAATAGCGATAGCGATAGAAATAACACTAGTTTTAAAGCCCCTTGCACAATGGAAGGAATAGCGATAGAGATAGAAATAACAAAGTTTTTAATACAGAATTCCAACTCGTCGGAAATTTTATCGCTATTGCTTATTCCAATTTTCTGATCTGCATTGATACATGTGTAGTTTTGTATGTTAGATTCCGCTGTTCCTACCTTTATTTTTAAACATAAACTCTTTAAAACTTTCGTTATTTTTATCGCTATCGCTATTCCTTCCATTGTGCAAGAGGCTTAAAGAGTTTATATTCATAAATAACGATAAGAACAGCGGAATCTAACATACAAAAATACACATGTATCAATGCAGATCAGAAAACGGAATAAGCAATAGCGATAAATTTTCCGACGAGTTGGAATTCTGTGTTTATTGCTTATCCCTGTCACTATTTCCTCGCATTGTGCAAGAGGCTTTGGGCTTCAGGTCGGCACCGTACTAGCAATATAGAAGTATTACATATATGGCATATAGGCATGGCCTCTCCATGAGTATAAGCTCTATGGTTTTTACTAAAACGGTTTTTATTAAAACGGTTTTATCAGTACGTGTAAACCATATATATACTTCTATATTGCTAGTACGGTGCCGACCTGAAGTCCACATGTTACGGTGCAGACAATATAGTAGCCTCTCTCTCCAGCTGCTTTGTGCGCATGCGGTGAACATTCAAGCACGTTTGGGCATTTCTCTTTCTCGCGTTCTTTCTCTCATTTTCCAATGCTTTGTCTCGCTCGCACTCGCTTAGTAAATGCGCCTGCGCATAATGACGCTCGACTATCTATGCCCATATTTGGACTTCGTGCGTCTCTCTTTTTCGGGCCTCGTGCCTCTCATTGCGAAGATACGCGACTAGCAATATAGAAGTATTATATATATGCTATATGCTAACCATAGGAAGGGCCGCGCAAAGAGGATCGACAAAGAGAGATATATTTGGATATATTTTGTCTCAACGGTGGCTCCCCCACTCCGTTTTCTCTGTTATTCTCTTCTAAGAAGTGGCCACAATTGAAACAGAAAAATATATCTCTTTTTGTCGATTCTCCTTGCGCTCGCATGGCTTCTCCATGAGTATAAGCTCTATGGTAAAAACCGGACTTAGATGTCCTGTAAACGTCCCTTAATACTGATGTTATGAAAACCGTTTTAGTAAAGTCAAACATCTTCTAAAAAAGGTTTGGCGTTATTAAACCATTTTAAGAAAGACGTGTAAACTGTCTTCAATGGTTTTAATCACTAACTAAGAGTAAGAAGATCGAATTCATTGGGAGAGAATCCGCTCAAGGAAATAGGTTTTTACGGTTGNACGCCATTTGCAAAACTGTGCATGTACAGACGGCGTCATTAATTCGAAGAATAGGCGCGGGGATCGGAGGGCAAGCGGGGCGGTTGCTCGTAGTGCCAACGGGCGCCGTACTAACTAACTAGTAGCAATCGGGTGTTCACAACTACGACGTAGTATTTAGCCCGTTGGCGCTACGAGCAACTGCCCCGCTTGTCCTCCGATCCCCGCGTCTATTCTCCGAATTAATGACGCCGTCTATACCATAGACTTATATAATAGACGGAACATTCGTGTAAGAGGAGCTGACGCTTTATTAAAAGAGACAGAAATAGTCGTGGAGTAATTCTCTTCTTTTCTAGCAGTGAGTTGATTGGCGGCCTCGGCAGGCCGAGGGAGTGGCCGAGAGCAACGAAGATAGATGTCCGAGAGTCAATTGAGAAAGAGTGATAGTGAGAGGTGATAGCATGGTTTGGTTTGGTGCAAAATTGGCTCAGTGGACCGAATTAAGTTAGTCCATACGCCATTAAGGTGATAGCATGCATGTAGCATGCATAGACTTGTGAGAGACTTGGCAGGCGCTGTTATAAATCGGTTTGAAAATAAAAAGTTAAAAAGTGATATAATTACAACAACTGTTACAACTGTTGTTGTTTCTCTTTACAAACATAAATAAAATAATAAACAAATTATATACAAGACTCGAACCTTTATAACCTTTCGAGCACACAAGTCAAAAGTAATAGCCTTTTACGTCTAAGCATAGATTTATATGTCTATGTGATAGGGAACCTTAAAGTGATTGGCCCCACCATCTTATTGTAAGAGAGAGAGACAACTACTCCAGCACTATCTCTGTTCTTTAATGTTGTTCTCAACTTTGTCATATACATGTTCCGTCTATTATATAAGTCTATGGCATGTACACAACTAATTCATGTACACGTTTAGTGTATGTAATCTATCTTGTTACATACTAAACGTGTACATGTGTTAGTTGTGTACATGCACAGTTTTGCAAATGGCGTCCAACCGTAAAAATCTATTTCCTTGAGCGGATTCCCTCCCAATAAACCGTAAAAATCGGGACTACTTTTTCCATTCGCGCGCTATCAAGTTCGATCTCCTTACTCTTACTTCGTGGTTTTAACGTATCAAAATGCGATATTACCAACTTTAGACATTTGTAAGAGAGTTCCAAAAATATGGAATCTGACAAAATATCGATCTCATACAGCATCGCTTCAAAATTCATTATTCTGTGGATAATGGATTATTCTGTAAAAAACAAGATCAATAAGAAAATGAAGAAACACGATTTTTTCTAAATTTAATGAGAGAGCAAAAAATGAAATGTTTAGATGAAAAAAAATTTCGAAGGAAAAAGGATATATGAAAACCCACAAACAGATACAAACAAAATATATTTTAAAGAAGTTGTTAATAATTTCTATTTTTGTAAATTTCACAATCGCAAAACGTAACTTCTTCTATCTGTTACCAGTTACGGAATATTCTATAAGACCTGGTTTATGCGAGCCTAAGATTTTAATATTTCTGTTTATTAACAAAAGCATAACAGAATATAACAGAAGCATTGAAATCCTATAGTTAAACTGTACCAATTCCGGCATAAATTAACAGTTATTACCCGAATAAACAAAGCCAAAACAAGGCCTTATTTGCCCGCATAAACCAGGCCTAAAGCCCGTTCTACATTGATCGCAAGCGCAAACGCAAAGTATAGATCTCGTAGAATTGACCACTTACGCTCGTCAATTGGCTGATTTGATCAATACGAGTAGTCAATTCTACAAGACCTGTTCCTTGCGTTTGCGCTTGCAATAAATGTAGAACAGGCTTAATACAACAAATAGTTTCAAGCGCCAAATCTTTTATGTTGGCAATAGATTTTGTTCGGATTTAATAAAGCTACTTTGTTCTTGGTGGAGGTAAAATACGCTTGGTGTAAACAGGCACCATAGAACAAGATTTACTAAACCGGTTTTTGCTAAAACGTTTTTACCAGTGCGTGAAAACGTAGTCAGAGTTAACAATTAAAACTGAGATTCATCTCGGGCTCTGTAAAGTCTTTAACTAATAAATGAATGATAAGTCGTAAAACGAATTCGAATTATTTTTTTTTTCGTCGTAACGTGAATTCGATTATATATGTGTACACACGCACATATATATATAGACATATTTCCCGCATAACATCCAGCGAACGGCTTTCAACGACTTATTATTCATTTATTAGTTGTAGTCAGAGTTTTTGCGATAGCTTTTCGTGGACATGTTTCTATTCCGTGCTAAGTTTGTGAACATGGTTCTATTTTGTGTTATGAGAATACCATAGACTTATATAATAGACGGAACATTCATATGGGCAAGTTGTCCTAAACATTAAAGGACAGAGATAGTGCTAGAGTGTATGCCTCTCTGTCTTACAATACGAGCGGTGGGGGACCAATCACCTTAAGCCACGCCTTAAGCGCACTTATATAAGTTTATGCTTAAACGTAAAAGGCGATACTTGTGAATTGTGTGCTCGAGAGGTTCGAGTCTTGTACAGATATAATTTTGTATTATTTAGTTTTTTTTATGTTTTTCAAGTAAAGAAAGAACAACCTTGTTTCAAATCTTATTGGGAAAATCTCTTTATCACAAATTTTATAATCATCTTAGAAATACATAAATTTTTTTCTCTTTGTGTCACTAAAATCGTTTACTATACATAGAACTGTTGTATGCGTGTTGAATTTTGATAAGAATAGACAAAAAAGATCTCCAATAAATCGGGGATAGCAGATACGCTTTGCAGTTGGATTTACAAGTTTCTTGTTTTTCCTGTAAAAATATATATATTTCAAAATGTATAATTACAAATAAATGAATAAATTAGATTAGCAAAAAATGGTTTTTATGTTACCTTTTTAATGAAAAATCTTCATTACTTTGTGAATCTTCATTGATTAATATTGCTGGATTGGAAACAGCAGATTGTTTTGAATTAACTTCTGATGTAGAATATTCATCATCAGTATCGCTGCTAATTATTGTTTCAATTAATGCTGCTGGAGTAGGAACAGCAGATTGTCTTGAATTAATCTCGGATGTAAGATATTCGTCGTTAGAATCATTGCAAAGTATTGTTTCACTTCATCCTGCTGGACTGGGAACAACAGATTGTTTTGAATTAACCTCTGTTGTATATTTATCATCAGTATCACTGCAAATTATGTTAATATTTTATTGCAATGTTAACAAATAATATCGATTTAATTAATAGATCAGTAGCATTTTTACTTACCTATTATCAATTGCTTGTTCGATATTNTTTCCATGTAACGATTCATTACTTGTAAGTAACATTGTCTGCCGTATCGGATGAAGTAAACTGGGAACAGCATCAGGTACTAAGTATCTTTTTGGCACATTTTTTATTATTTTATATTGAAAGTCTGTGTCTGTGAAATGATCACTGCAAACAGAACTGCTCTTAGCAACTTGACGTCCTATTATATTGATCCACTTTTCTCTCAATTCGTCTTTTTTAGGAATACTAAAATATTAACATACATATAAAATAATAACATATAATGAAACAATGTTACCATATAAAATTAACATACATATTTTTGAAGATATTTAAAAAAAAGTATTAATAAAAAGCTACTTCTTTCGTTATTTTATCTATCAAAGCAACAAACAATGAGAAAAAAATATTATTTACTTTACTAAAGATATATTTAACCTACAAATTTTTTTTTCCATAAATCGATAGTTTCATNGTACTTACCAATGAAAAGAAACATCACTTCGAACACCATATTCAGCTTTACAAATACAGCAAAACCGCACCATGATGAAATATAATAATATCACTGTGTAACCTTGCATAATTTTTATTCAACTGATTTTGCGCCTGCATTCTTTCAAGTTCACACAGGTCTACGCGTGCTACATGCATGCTGCGCATGCTATATCGTATGATCTCTTGCTATCACTCTTTCTCAACTGACTCTCGGACGTCTATCTTCGTTGCTCTCGGCCACGCCCTCGGCCTGCTGCTGCAACCAATCAACTCACTGCTAGAAAAGAAGAGAAGCACTCTCCGACTATTTCTATCTCTTTTAACGAGCTGACAGCTCCTCTTATACGAATGTTCCGTCTATTATATAAGTCTATGGAGAATACCGACGTGGTGGAGATACGCACACAAGCGAGAACCGTCGTCATCATATATGTAAAGCCCGTTCTACATTGATCGCAAGCGCAAACGCAAGAAATAGATCTCGTAGAATTGACCAATCACGCTGGTCAATTGGCTGATTTGATCAATACGATTAGTCGATTCTACCAGACCTGTTCCTTGCGTTTGCGCTTGCGATCAATGTAGAACAGGCTGAATACTTCTATATGGCTAGTTGAGCTCTCAGCGCGGTCCCAACACTACGGTGCAGACAATGCTCTACTCTCTTTATTACTCTTTATCACTGTTCAGTTTGTTCAAAAGCGCATGCGTGACATGTATCCATAATGCTTATATTGACTGCGTTCCGATATTCACTGCCAGTACTGAAGATCTATAGCACATGTGACGTGAAGTATAACCTCGAAATTTTCCCGCAACGCTTGCGCATTACCAATCATTGAACACTCCTCTTACTCTTTCTTGGAGAGCCAATAAGCATCTATCTTCTATCCTTCAGTATTGGGACAAGTCCCGCTTATGGAAAACTTGCTCAACTAGCCATATAGGAGTATTACATATATGGTCGTCATACATCGACATAATATGTCTGTACTCTTCCACGAGCGCACACGGCCAACAGTCTCGCCAGTGTGCCCAGTTTTGACTCTCTTACAGCCATAGACTTATATAATAGACGGAACATTTATATGACGAAGTTGAGAACAACATTAAAGGACAGAGATAGTGCTGGAGTAGTTATCTCTCTCTCTTACAATAAGATGATGGGGAACCAATCATCTCACAAGTTTATGCTATCACCTTTCACTATCACTTTCTCTCAACTGAGGCTGTTTTCCTTTTAGGAGACACAGTCGACACAAGTCGACACAAAAGTCATTCTGTCTTTGTTAAGTATTCAGTGAGAAACAAAGACAGAATGACTCTTGTGTCGACTGTGTCTCCTAAAAGGAAAGCAGCCTGACTCTCGAACTCTATCTTCGTTGCTCTCGGCCTGCCGCGGCCACCAATCAACTCACTGCTAGAAAAGAAGAGAACTACTCCACGACTATTTCTGTTTCTTTTAACGAAGACTTCAGCTCCTCTTACACGAATGTTCCGTCTAGTATATAAGTCTATGCTTACAGCACGCTGCAGCAAGTGAAGAGGATACGCACACAGGCGAGCAGCCATGTACGTGTGCGCTCGACACTACGGCCGTCTTCGGGCGGTAGAAGAGAACAGACATATGTCTACTGTCTCTTTCTTTCGACATAGCTATAGCGTACGAGGCAGAGATGCCAGTTTGCGGACGCTAGCAGCATGCTCAGCAAGTAGAGGGGATACACAGATGAAACGCACACAGGCAAACAGCCGTGTACGTGTGCGCTCAGCGCCTCGGCGAGTGGCTACTCGCTTGTGTGCGTGTCCCCTCCACTTGCTGCTGCATGTTGCTAGCGTCCGCAAACTGGCATCTCTGGTACGAGGTTAGCGCGAGCGGCTAAGCCTCGTGCTAGCAGCTGTTTATCATTTTTCGCCGTTCGTCCTCGTTCTTTCACTTATTTACTTACAAAAACATTTCGATTAAATAAAAAAATATTAACACCATAAAAGAATAATTAGAAAAATGAAACATATGAGAAGTATAAATGAAAAGTGAAGAATATAAATCCACTCTTGGCCAATATGTACGTCTTTTTGTTTTAAACAAAAAAAAAGAAACGTATACTTAATTATATATTTAGCAAAATTATTGTTAATATAAAATACATAGAGATAAAAATATATTTTAATGTTGTTTGTTACGTAAAAATTATTCTGTTAATATACTTTTTATTTTGCACTTGCAATTACATATAATATACATTAAAAGAAAAAAAGTATTCTTGCAATAAGAATTTTATTATATTTAAGTTTTAGAAATGAAATACGTATACATTGGGTGCTTTCCAACAACGGAACACTGTCATACACTGTGTGACACAGTGGTCTAGTTTCCACCGAAACCCTCAATTCGGTTTCACTCCGATACTGATCAAATCATAGAGCTTATACCATAGAGCTTATACTCATAGAGAGGCCATGCAAGCGCAAGGAGGATCGACAAAGAGAGATACATTTTTCTGTTTCAATTGTGGCTACTTTTTATAGTAGAGAATAACAGAGAACACGGAGTGGGGGAGCCACAGTTAAGACAAAATATGAACAAAATATATCTTTCTTTGTCGATCCTCCTTGCGCGGCCCTCTCTATGGTTAGCATATAGGCATGGCCTCTCCATGAGTATAAGCTCTATGGATCAAATTTAGTGTTCCGTTTCCATTGGAAGTAGAGTACTTATGGCAAATTCGATTGGCGTGCACTTGCTCCGTTTCAGTGGCTAGTAACTTTTTGTTACTAAACGT